GGGCTGTGAGAGAACACCGTAATGCAGTTCAGCTTTCGGGGAAGAGCTTCTTCCTTCACTGGCTACGTGTCCTTAGATAATTTAGTTACCCTACCAGCCTCAGTTTCCTCACCTTCAAACTGGAGGTAATAGCACCTGGTTCACGTGAGGAGGTATCCGAGTGCTTCATTCACAGGGTTAGCACAGGGAGCTCAGGGGTAATACGGTATCTGTAGCACGTAGTAAATGCTTAAAGAATTCCGTCATTTAACAGATATGATTAACACCTACTAAATGTCAGTCTGTGTTCCAGGTGCTGGGAGAAAAAACAGACAAAAAGAAAATCCCAATCTCATAGAGTTAATATTCTAGGAGGGGGAGACAGACAAGAAACAAGTAAATAAGTAAAATAGACAGGATGTTAGATGATGAAAAGGGCTGTGGAAAGAATAAAATCAGGGAGGGGATAGGAGTGCTGGAGGAGGGGGGATTTGCAATCTTCAATCCAGTGGCCAACACTCCCTGGAAAGTGATATTTGAATAAAGAGCTGAAGGAGGTGAAAGAGCCCAGCCTGCAGATGTCTGAGGGAAAAACCTTTTGGGTGGGGGAGGGACAGCAAGTGCAAAGGCCCTGAGGCAGGAGTGCACCAGGTGGGGCTAAGAAGCATCTAGGAGGCTGGTGTGGCTGCAGCTGAGTCGGGGTGGGAGAATAGTTGGAAATGAGGCCAGAGAGGTAATGGTTCGCATGTGCAGGAGGGTAGGGTGGTAACAGGGAGTGCAGTCATGTAGGGACTTGTTGATCATTGTAAAAACTTGGGAGAGTTTTAAGGAGAGGAGTGGTATAATCCAATTAAGGTTTTAACAGGAGTGCTCAGGATGATGGGTTGAAGGTAGACCACAGGGGTCAGAGTGGCAACAGGGAAACTAGTTAAAGTCCAGTGCAGTAGTAGTTCAGGGGAGAGACGGCGGTGGCCTCGATCACGCGGAAGAAAGGAGGTGGTGAGAAGTGGGTTGGATTCAGCATATGTTTTTTAAGGAGGAAGTGACAGAATTTGATGACGGATTCCATGAGCAGTGTGAAAACAAGAGAGGAGTTCTAGAATGTCTGTGAGAGTTTTGGCCTGAATGAAATTGCCATTTAGAGTAAATGCTCTGAGTTCTGTTTTGGATATTGTGAGAGACTGTTGCCTCAATGGCTCCCAATGAGTCATGCACTGGGGCTTGTACCCTGGGACTTGCCCTCTTAGAAGGCTGCCTCAGCCATGTGAGAAGCACAGACTGTCCTGCTGGAGAGGAATATGGAGGACAACCAAGAGCTCCAGCTAATGGCCCGACATGTAAATGAGGGCATCTTCAACCATCTGGTCCCAGTAGAGCCTCCAGAGCATTTCAGTCTCCTGAGTGATCCAGCTGGTCCAGCCCAAAATGCCACGAAGCTTTAGGGTTTCTGATGAGCAATAGATAACTGGTACAATCACGTGAAATTTGAAACGTCTTATGGACATTCAAACTGGGATGTCAAGTAGGCAGTTGGATGTATGAGTCTAGAATCCAGGGGATGTCCAGGCTGCAAACACATCTTGGGAGTCATCAGCATATCAATGATAGTTAAAGCCATGAGACTGAAAGCACCAACGGTGTGTGTATAGGTACAGAAGAGGAGTCCAAGGACTGAGGCCCGAGACACCATAACATCCAGAAAGGAAGAAGGATTGCAAGTGTGACCGAGAAGGACCAGTCAGTGCAAAAGGAGAAGAACCAGGCATGTGTGGTGTCCTGGTACCAAGTAACAGACTGTGTTACTGGTAGAAAGAAGGAATCAATTATGTCAAATACTGCTGATGGATTCAATAAGATGATGACTGAGAATTGACCACGGGATTTAGTCCACGAACGTTTTTAGTTAGCTTGAGAGGAACAGTTTTAGTGGAGTGGTAAGAGTGGAAGCCTGCTTACAAGGACTTGAAGAGTGAATGGGAGGAGAGGAACTGGAACCACGGCCATAGAAATCCCCTTTGAGGGATTCTGATATAAAAGAAAAATAGGAAAATGCATCCATAGTGGTAGAAGGATGTGCAATCAGGGAAGGTGTCTTAAGGTTGGGAGCATGTTGTTTATGGATGGGAATGATTCAGTAGGGGAAAATCAAGTGATGCAGGAGACAGAAAGGAGATTCGCCGGATGATGGCCTTGAGTTGAGTGGACATAAGACGCAGGGTATAAATGGAGGCACTGGCCTTAGCTGGCAACAAGAATGGACCATACATAATGTGGGAGGAAAGGCACAATACGTGGGCACTGACGTAAGCTAGTGAGTAGATGTCGGTAGAAGTATACGAAATTTCACTGCTTATGTTTTCCTGGCAAAGTCATTGGCTGAACTTGAGGATAAGGGAAGGGGTGTTGGAAGGTCAAGGAGGAAGGGATAGAAATGAATGGTAGCCATTGTATGATCTCCCTGTGAGCGGTGAGCGTTCCCATCCTACCCATTACTCTCCAGGACTACTTTAGGACACTGGTAGATCCAGGCTTTATATAGCCTGTAACGTAGAGTGACTTTGGTAGGCGCTACTGAGCCTAGATAAAGGCGTTTCTTACTTCCTCCTTGACACAGAACCCAGTTTTGTTCAGATACATGGTGGCCACGTGCTTAGGGGAGTCTGGGTCTTTTCCCTGACTAGGGATTAGACCCTAGTCTAATTGATTAGTGTGAGCTGATCAAGATAATTCTGGTCCCTCTGCCAGCAATTGTTGTAGGCCTGGACATGTGTTGCGATTCTGATCAATAACATGTGAGGGGAGATCTGTTGGCAGTCTCTTAGAAAAGATTTTCCCTTATGATATAAAGAGAATCGTAGAAAGGATATTTCTTCTCTTAGCTCCCCTGTGTTATCTGTGTATAGAACCTGAGTCTGAAAGCAGCCACACTGAGGCCAGGTCTAAGGGGGGCCCACATGGAAGAAGGAAGGTCTTTCATGACATCACTGAATTCAACCCAGGAGCCTCCCTACCTCCTGCCATCTTAGTATGTGAGATATTATCAACTAGTTTCCTTATTGACGCTGCCCTTTTGTGTTGGTTCATCTGTGTTTTGCAACTGGAAGAAATTTGATACCCAGAATATCAGCAAAATAGTTGCAGAATTTAGCTTAGCTTTATTGAGGACACCAATTCAATTCGATGCAACATAGAGAAAATGAGAACAACGTGCCAGGCATGGTATCAGACACAGATGAAGAAAACTGCCTTACCATAAATTACTTATAACAAATCTATGTGTGTTTGTATTGGGGGATGGGAATAATAAAATATAAAATGACTCTTCTAGAAAGCAGAATGTGTTAAGTGCCTTGAAAGAGATACAGGAGGTCAAAGAAGATAGTGATAGCATCCATTGGGGGAAAGTGGGCTAGTCTCCATGAAAGAAGTAGAGTAGAAGCCGGGTCTTGAAAAGTAGGTAGGATTTTTAGAGACAGAGTGAAGGGCTTTCCAGGTCTAGAAACTAGGAGTCTGTACTAGGAAAGGCAGAATCCAGAAAGTGGACTGGTCTGGAAAGCCAAGTGGAATATCCGGTTCAGCTGGCATATGGATAGTGTGTAGAGGAGGGGTGGAAATAATGTTGAAAAGTTACACTGGGTCAGGATTTGAGACGCCTTAAATAGCAGGCCAAGAAATGAGGGTCTGCTTAGGTTGCAAAGGGCGGCCCCTGGGGATATTCTCAATAGACAGGTAACAGGATCAGAGCTGAATGTGGGGAGATCCATCTTTAGTAGACGGACTGAAGCCTGTTCTTTTTTACCAAATAATAACTGTTTTAATTATTTGCCACACCCTCAACACACACAGACATTAATATAGATGCACCTAAAGCCTCAGCAAAAACAAACAAGAGAGAATTACATTCTCAGACCCAAGCCACGGGAGGGAGGAACAGGGACAGATCATTTGCCCCGGTCTTGTACAAACCTCTCCAACCCTTCTTCCTGGATTCCGCTTGCCCCTCTTCTTTTAGGCTCCCTATAACAGGAAAGAATCCCCATTCTGTTCATTTATTTATTTATTTTTGGCTGCGTTCGGTCTTCGTTGTTGTGCGCGGGCTTTCTCCAGTTGCGGCGAGCGGGGGCTACGCTTCGTTGCAGCGCGCAGGCTTCTCATTGCGGTGGCTTCTCTTGTTGTGGAGCATGGGCTCTAGGCACACGAGCTTCAGTAGTTGTGGTATGTGGGCTCAGTAGTTGTGGCTCGTGGGCTCTAGAGCACAGGCTCAGTAGTTGTGGAGCACGGGCTTAGTTGCTCCGCGGCATGTGGGGTCTTCCTGGACCAGGGATCGAACCCATGTCCCCTGCATTGGCAGGCGGGTTCTTAACCACTGCGCCACCAGGGAAGTCCCCCCCACCCCCCATTCTGTTTACAATCTGCCCCCAGAGCCCACATTTGCACCAGGACAGTGGTTCTCTATCTTCTAGTCTCTAATGTTTTATACAGTGGAGCTCCTATTAATCACGGTACCCTTTTCAGAACACCATAAAATATTGATATATTTAAGTCCAAAATACAGCCTATGATTTAGCACAAAATTAGATATTTAGGTACTGTATGCTTAAGTTGCTTAGAAATGTTAAATTTAATTAAATTTACAGACACTAACACCCAATATAAAACCACAACCATAAGCCCAAACACCTGTCCATAGAAAAAACAAGCTGTCAAACTAAGTGCTGGCGGCTATGTCTGGGTCCATTAATATTCATTTGCTACTTGCTAATTCTCTCTGTCATCTGCTAGCACTGGCCAGTGGACAAGCAGTAACAGGTGCCAAAGATTTAATAAAAATGTAGAGAGCAAAAAACAAAAAACTGGAGAAATTCTATTCATTAACTTAATTTTCTGGGAATTAGCCTATTTCTTCATTCATTCAACAAAGACTGATTGGGCAGTTACTGTGTGCCAGGCACCGTGCCAGGCGGAGGAGACACACAGAAGTAAGGTGCAGGCCTGCCTTCCAGAAGATGCCTAGTCATGGCTGCGGTCGAGAAAATGCTAACAGGACCAGAGGAAGTGAATGCCGTGGTGGAAACAGTGGAGGGACCTACGGAGCCTAGAGCCCAGGGCCCAGGAGGGCATCCTGGAGGATGAGCCATGAGAGGTAAGTCCCGAAAATAAGCTCAGGTAATCTCAGCCAGTGCTGGTCAGAGACCAGCACAATGTTCATGGCATCATTGGGGAGGGCAGGGCCACGACTGGGTCACCGACGCTTACATTTTGTGAGATAATGATCATACAAAATATCATAATTTTATAGATGAAAGGCCTTTTAGTACCTGAAATTTAAAAAGAAAGAAAGAAAGAAAGAGAAATCAGAAGTTCATAACTTCATTACAGATCTAGAAAACAAACTTATGGTTACCGGGGGAAAGGAGGGGGAGGGACAAATTGGGAGGTTGGGACTGACATATACACACCACTATATATAAATTAGATAACGAATAAGGACCTACTGTATAGCACAGGACACTCTACTCAATACTGTGTAATGACCTATATGGGAAAATAACCTAAAAAAAGAGTAGATATATGTATATGTATAACAGATTCACTTTGCTGTACACCTGAAACTAACACATTGTAAATCAATTATACTCCAATAAAAATTAAAAAAAAAGAAATATACAACTTCAGAAAAAAGGAACGTCCTGTACTTGGTATAATTTTAACTTTGTGAAGAAATCATCACATTGTTCTTACTTGTCTCACTTGGCTGCAGATTCATGAAAACATGAGTCCTAGAGCTGCAGTGGGGAGAGAAGCTGGGGAAGGTGCAGCAGCAGAGCAAAGGAACGTGGACAGAGGTGCTGAGGCGTATGGGACCTTCGTCTTTCTGGGCGCCCTGGGTTTGGGGGAGGGAGGGGAGTAGAGGCAACTAGCCCCCAGGGCTGTGTCATGACCTTCCAGGGCATGCTTTCCTTGGGGGTGTGTAGGGAGCAGGTCTTTTCCTATAAAAATATTACAAATTATGTTTTATGACTATGTTGGAATAAAGAATATAATCTTTGACCCTAACAGCTCATTTTTTCCCCTTTGATGTTAAAAGAAATTAAAACATTTTTGTGGGCCCCTAAAAGTATTGTGGACTTAAGGTTCTTTGTCCTCTATGCCTAATGGGTAAATCAGGCCTGACAGTCCTAAAACTAGGGGCAGCATCCCGTGAGGTGGGGTGCCAGAGGGCCTCTGTGTCACCATCAGGACCTTGCTGGTCCTGCCTGTGGAAAAGTCGGGCCCTGCTTGGGGAGCAGGGGTGTACCAGAGGAAAGTTGAGGAATGAAGTCACAAGACAGCCAAATACCATAGAGGTGTGTGGATCTGGTAAATGAGCACAGCCAAGACTGGATACCCCAGAGGACAAAGGGCCACTTGCCAATGGCCAGTAGGACAGCCTGGCCTCTTCCGGCTTCAGGGACTAGACACAGCAGGGACCAGCCCTTCCTAGAAATTCTGCCAGATGGTCTAGCATCCTGGGCTTGGCCTGATCTACATTTTATCAGCCAGGGCCAGACCAAGCCTTTCAATTCAGAGCCCCTCCCTCTACCACGATCCTTCCCCAAATACCACCTCTACTGTGGACTGGATAAACCAAGGCTAAATTTTAGTCCAGCTGACCCTTTCTGTCCAAGTCTCAGGTGTGTTTATACAAGGTAGGCATTGGGGCTGTGACTGGTGCTTTTTCCCTTGCTTGGCTCAAAGGAAGTCTTGTGTAGGGTATACAGGACTGGAGGGCAGGGACCAAGGTCGTTTAAATGCATAGGGCACTTGAGGTCGCTGATGGGAAGACACGAGAGGATAGAAAGAGAGAGAGAGAGAGAGAAGAGGCACAGAAGGAATCCACAGCAGGAGCCCAGATGATGTTTTTGAAAGAATGATATATCCTTACAAATATATGTGCTCTGATACATTACCCTAATTTTTCTAATTTAGCCTAGGTAAAAGGATTCCAGAGACAAATGCATAATAATAAAAATTGAGGGAATCAAAATGGACAAAATGTAAATGTCTAACTAGAATAGTGTCTAAATAAGTAAATAGGATTTTCATGCTCTCTGCTAATGTCTTTCGGCCCAGTATTTTTGTTGTTGTTGTTGTGGTACGCGGGCCTCTCACTGTTGCGGCCTCTCCCGTTGCAGAGCACAGGCTCCGGACGCGCAGGCTCAGCGGCCATGGCTCACGGGCCCAGCCGCTCCATGACATGTAGGATCTTCCGGGACCGGGGCACGAACCCGTGTGCCCTGCATCGGCAGGCGGACTCTCAACCACTGCGCCACCAGGGAAGCCCTGACTTTTTTTCTTAATGACACTGATATTATCAAAGAGTTCAGCTGGTTATCCTGTGGAATGTCCCACGATCTGGGTTTTGCTGATTGTTTCCTCATGCTTATATTCAGGCTGAGTGTCTGAGACAAGAATACTACACAGGTGAAGCCGTGTGCATCCCACTGCCCACATCAGGAGGCCATAACGTCAGTTACCCTCACTGTCTGTGATACCAACTTTAAAAATTTGGCTAAGGGAATGTCTATCAGATCTCTTCATTGTAAAGATAACTTTTGACCTTTGTAATTAATAATTACACTGTGGGGGCTTCCCTGGTGGCGCAGTGGTTGAGAGTCCGCCTGCCGATGCAGGGGACGCGGGTTCGTGCCCCGGTCCGGGAGGATCCCACATGCCGCGGAGTGGCTGTGCCCGTGAGCCATGGCCGCTGAGCCTGCGCGTCCGGAGCCTGTGCTCCGCAACGGGAGAGGCCACAACAGTGAGAGGCCCACATACCAAATAATTACACTGTAGGTGTTAAATTCTTTTTTTTCTTTTCTTTAGGGGCCAAAAATCATCTACTTTTCCTGAAAAAAAAAATCTTCCCTCCGTTGTCCTATCAAAAACCTCGCCGACAGTATGATGTGCCTTAGAGCCCATACTAGTATCCAATAGGCTGCTCCTACAGCAGGAAGCTTCATGATTGTAATAATGAATACACATAACATTTCCTAAAGTTTTTGCAGCATCTCACAGGTTACAGAGCATTTTCACACTTATTACAGCTTTCTATTTTCCCCCAATTTCCTTTTCCTTCTATAAGAAGGGAGACTGTTTCTAATCACTCATTCATTCATTCACCCACCCATCTCTTCATCCCGACCGCATTCAGGCACTGAGCTAGAGGCAGGGGGCTTTCGGAGATGAGTGAGGGGATCAGGTCCAGGGGAGGAGACAAACACACAAACTGCAGTAGAGAGACATGCTCTGGTGAGGAGAACGTAGGGAGAAAAGGGACCCACCAGGAGAGAATCACAGGGAAGTAACAGCAGAGCCTCCAGCCTGCCCTAACCATGGCCAAGTGAGAAAACATCTTTCCTCCTTTTTAAAGTCTTGTCAGTTGGGTTTTCTGTTACTGCCGCCAAATGTGTGCTAACTGATACAGTAGCCTCACTTGCAGATGAGGAAATTAAGCCCCCAGAAGCAAAATAGTTTTGCCAAATGACCCTCAGCTAGTAAGTACCTGAGGTGCTTCTTGATCCTGACGGCCTGATTCCAAGCCCCACGTGTCTCTGTACCCTGTGCTGGTCCCCTAGGGGAAGAGACAAGGGAATTCCCTCTGGTCTGAGCCTTGGTGTACTCCCTGACACCCCTCTTCTGCATGCAGAGCGGAGATGGCCAGACAGAAAGGAGATGCCCAGGGACACTTATTCAGGTGGCATGAGTGTCAGTCACTTCCTCCCAGTAGGCTGAGCGACGGGCATTTCGGAATAGGAAGCAATTTCCTTAAGTCCACCGGTGTTCACATAGACACATGGGGCGGGTACACAGTTAATCAGCCCACACGTCAACAGACTTTCTGAAGGCCACAGAGGGCCCCATGTAAATAGGAATCCAGTGCCTAAGTTTCAGGGAGCCTGATTGGGTGTGGGAAAGACTGAATGGCTCTGGGAACAGGAGTTAATGGGTGGGAGGAGCCTATTGGACTTGGGGTTGGAGAGTGGGCACATTGTAGCAAAGAAGGAGCTTCAGCAGCAAGCTGTGAGTTTGAAGTATGGGGGCCATTAAGTGTGAGCTATTTGCAGACAGAGAGAGAAAAGGTGAGCTTAGCGGCGCCGTTCTAGGTGCAGCCTTGACGCTGAGGACTGGCACCCTCAGTAGAGGCTGTGAAATGATGCACAGGGTTATCCTTGTAGAGGGGAGGGCCCAGAGTCAGAAACATTTAAAGTACATCTTTGGAGCGTTAAAAGAGGCACCAAATGTATAAACGTGAAGGTCAAGAATTCTAAACCCTTAACCACGAATCGTCCTGCTTCCCCTTAAGTAATTTTGCTAGAGTACGCTGGTGCAGCCTGTATTTGCTGTGGGGTGCGGGGTGGTGTGTCTGTGTGTGTCTGTGTAGGGGAGGTAGTGAGAGGGGGAAAACGTGGCGTTTTTGCCAGCATTTGCTTTTTTTCTCCTTAATTTTGGTCTTTTTTTTTTTTCTTTCCTGCTGTTCTCCACCCCTACAATAAGCTGAGGCAGTGTAAGTTACAATTTATTAGCTGGTTGCTATGGGTTACACCAGCGCGCCACAGATACTCCCTTCAGAAATAGTAACATTTAATGTAATGTAAAACAGAACTACCTCATCACCACTTGGTTGGCTTCTGCTGGCTTGTAATATTATATCCTTCCCTGCTGAGATCGAAGCCTCGGGAAATTAGCTGGTGTCATTATTTTATTATGATGATGGGTGTCTGCCATACCCCTTGTTTCATGAAAAAGAGAGTTTGCAAACCAGAGTGTCTGCAGGATCTGGGGTGCTAACTTGCAGGGCCATGCAGTGCCTGGAGACGGAGTGTTTGTTTCATCTTCCTGTTCATTATTTAAGGCAGTCTTCTCAAAGCCTAGTCCCTGTGAGTCGGAGGCCACTTATCATTTCAGGGAGGCTAGTCATAACTACTGATAGGTTTTATTTATTTTGCCATCTGTATAATATGTGTAGCAGGCTGGCTAACAAAAATGTGTGGGCTGGTAAATTTTTAGGATAATATTTAGCTATAAGGGTGATGTAAAAGAAAATGGTTAGGAGTTGGCAACCCTGACTATAGTCATGCAACTTAAAATAAACCCCATGTAAGAGAGATAGGCATTTCCAGGTCACCTACGTTCTCCTTTCTGCCCACCGTCTCTCCGTCAACCACCCACCTCACCTCTACCCCACCCAGAGCACACTGCCAGTTGCTTCTCACTCACTTCTCTCTGCTGCTCACGGAGCCGTGTCTCTTCTACATGTGGGTCACCGGGTCAGACTACAAATGTGTTCTTGCTGGGTCCACATCTGTAGGAAGAGTGCTGGGGTAGTAGAAAAAATATGGGATCTGGAGCCAGACAGTCCATGTTCAAAGCCTGACCCTGCCACTTTCTGGCTGCATGACCTTGGGTACATCACAACTAGTTGAAGCGTCAGTTTCCATACTGTAAAATGGGTTAACAGTATGTGCCTTGAAATGCATATCCTTAGGATGAGAGGGGAAATGTATGTTAAATCACTTAACACGGTGCCTGGCTCATTGTAGGTGTTTAAAAAGCGGTCCCGCTCATCTTTTACTTGTCTAGAACGGGGGATATTATTGTTCCCTCTGCCAGCTTGTCCATCTGGGCAACTCCTGTTTTTTGTTCAAGACTCAGCTCACACACAACCTCTTTTGTAGTCACCCTCCCACCTCCTGCTTTCAGACACTTGTTTCCCCTGCTCTCGACTCCACGTGGCACCTCGCAGACCCCTGTTGTAACAGGCGCCCTCCGGATTGCCAGTCTATTCACAAGCTTTCCTCCCGTGGGTTCTGAGCTCCTTCAGGACCGGGACCTTCCCTCATCCATCTCTCTTTCTAGCACAGATGTTTCCAGTGAAGTTTGTTGGATGTACAGATGAGGTAAGGAAGGAACTAGTTCATTAATTCATGTTCACTTAACACTACACCCAGGGGATAAAAGTCGAGGCTCCAGTCTACCGGCCAGGGGCCGCCGCTAGGACTAAGGACCAGCATATGCCGTAGTCTCTATGGTTCAAAAGCCTTTGGCAGCAAGGAACAAAAGATGCCGCTTACAATGGCTTAAAAATGGGAACATTTATTATGCCCGGAACAGGAAGTCCTGTTCTTCAGTAACGCCATAAAGGACCCAGGGTCTACAGCTGCACTCAGGCGTGGTATTCAGATCAAATGGCAGTATCTGCTGCTCTTTTCACGATGGGAAAACCTCTTTTAGAACCTCTGACCCTCACCTAGTAGACTTCTGCTCATGGTTCTGGCCAGAATTCTATTACTTGTTCTTTCCATAGCCACTTACTAGCACAGGGAAAGGGACACCATGATGGCTCGTAACTCATGGTAATGAGTAGGACAGGCTGCCAAACAACACTGAGTTTCTGTGAAGAAGGGAGAAGCGTGGGGGTGAGTTTATCATGGCTGCTGTGGCGTTCATTCATTTATTCATCCAACAGATACTTGTTAAGCGCCTACCATGCACCAGGCAACGTGCTGGAAGCTGTGGACAGTTGTGAATAAGAAACAAAAGACCCCTTCCCGCAAAGAGCTAACGTTCCAGTGGGGAACGGGACAGTGAACATGTCAGCAGGTTAACAGGAGAATTACAGATTGTTGGGAGTGCCAAAAAGGAAATAAACAGGGCAGTATAGCAGAGAGAGAACAGGGGCTACACTAGCCTGGGTGGTCAGGGAAGGCCTCTCTGAGAAGGTAACATCTGACAGAACAGGGAGCACACGTCAGGTGAAGATCAGGAGGAAAAGTACTCTAGGCAGAGGGACAGCAAGTGCAAAGGCCCTGAGGGAGGAATGAGGTGATGGTGTGGCTGGAGCAGAGTCTGTGCCTAATGACTGATCAAATGTTGCTCCTGGAACCCAGCCCAGCTCCCACCCCAGGCTGGAAACAGATGACTGGCAACAACTCTGGCTTCCCAAAGCCTCTCCTGCCCAGACTTGCAGCCCCACCCAGGTCAGAGGCACAGCTGCTGAGGCCACAGGACAATAGGCAAGCTGTGAGATCAGCCTGTGAAGAGAGGGAAAGCCACCGTGATTCTGACAAAGGACCCACACATCAGGTCAAAGGCTTCTGCCTAATCTGTGTAGCAGAGATTTCCTCGGCCACAGCTACCTGGGGGTATGAACAGACAGGTGCAAGGTAACCATGGCACTGCTTCCTGTGTGTGTCTTTCTGTGTCCCCCATGGGCTCACAGCCTCCCCCATCATGCCAGGGCGGGCCCAGCTGCTCCTCCTTTGCGTGGAAGCAGGGGAAGGCTGCTGCTAGGTGTGACAGCTCTGCGGGATGAAGAGGCAGGGCCTGAAATTCTGGGCTGTTGGTGTAGGAATCTCTCCCACCTTTCTGTAGCCCAGTTTCTAGGTGGGCATGAGGATGGACTGATAGATGTGGTCCCCATATCTCATTCCATTTCAGAGGCTGGTCATTCTTCTTCTTTCCTCGTCTTGCCAACAGTGAAAACCTCTCTGGGGATTTTCACCTGCTTCTGCCAGGTCCAAGCTAGTCCTGCCCGTCATAGCCCAGCCAGGCCAGAGCAGTGTGTCCTCCTCCCCCTTCCTCTGTCAGCTGTGATGGCAGGCATGCTCACGGGGCTTCCTCTGGAGGCTGGTCTTTTTGCCTCCGCCTTCCAGGCAGCTACCTCCCCAGATCCATATTAAGTAAACTAGTGTAGGCTCGTGGAGTGTCCAAATGAGGCCACATTGACATCAGTACCCTGTCCCTGTTCACTGCCCCAGGACACCCACCTGCCTGGTGTGTCTCATACCCACTTTCTGGAAGTCCCTGGGGATGTCTCAGCCATGTCTGCAAATCGCTTTGCCTTCCTGGACCTTTGGCTCTTGGCAGTCAGTTTGGGAGTACAAGAAGGAAAACACCTCCCTGCCCCCAGTGTGACAATACTACTGGGCCCTAGAACAGGGTTGCTCAGCATCCGGGGGGCAGGGAGGAGGGCGAGACACCCCAGCTGTCCTCTTGCCTCCAGGGTGGCTGGTTGTCGTAGAGACTACCACACTGGCCCCAGGACCACTGATTCCTCCTGACTTGGACCTGTGCCGCTGAATCTGCCAGGCTCTGTTCTCCTTGAGGCTAAACCATCTTATAGGAGCTTCACATTTGACTTTTTTTTTTTGCGGTACGCGGGCTTCTCACTGTCGCGGCCTCTCCCGTTGCAGAGCACAGGCTCCGGACATGAAGGCTCAGTGGCCATGGCTCACGGGCCCAGCCGTTCCGTGGCATGTGGGATCTTCCCGGACCGGTGCACGAACCCGTGTCCCCTGCATCGGCAGGTGGACTCTCAACCACTGTGCCACCAGGGAAGCCCTTCACATTTGACTTTTGTCACCAATCTCCCTGCCTCCTTCCTCTTCTTGTCCCAAGTCTGCAGGCAACCCCAGCGGGGGTGCTTTCTCTGGAGATCCAGAAATCCAGGTGGGAAAATGTCACTCCATCATTCAGACGTACCTGAATCTTAGCTCTAACCCAGCCTGTTGTAGAATATTAACAGCAAAGGGAGTTGAGGGGGGGGGGTGTCCCTAAGATCAACTGCCTCATTCTGCAGATGAGCCAACAGAGGTCTAGAGAGGGGAAGTGGTTGAACTCAGGACATGGACCACAGAACTCACAGCAGGATGGGGCTAACCACGTCTCCTGACTTTCAGTCTGGGTCTCTGTTTACTGGATCATCTGCCCTCTCCCATTCAGAATTTTACAAAAGTCCTTCTATCTTGGAGCACCTCCTCCTTCAGCCCTCCCCCAACTTTGTATGACATCTGAAAAGGGGCCCAGCTACGAGTGGCATGGGTGGTCTGTCTTGAGGATGAAGACTACCTTTGACAGTCCCTCTCCTAGGCCAAGTAGGAGAATCAACACATATTAATTGAATCAGATTAGGGAATAATTTGCTATTTTCTACGTATTCTATAGTATATTAATAGGACTCCTATGAAAATAAGAATGCATATATTCTGCTCAAACAATTAGATTAAACAAATTATGATTGTTATTACTGCAGGACTTAGAGCTTCTGACTATGGCCATCTAATAGGAACCTATAATAACTCCAGAAACTGTGCTCTGTACCACATTTTGGGAAATGCTGCATGAGGGAAGAGGCATGGAAAATCTGAAGCTCCCTTGCTCCTCGAACAGGGTCTCCTGGCTCCCTAAGACAGCCAAACCCCTAATTACTCTCGGGAAATAGCGTTCCTACTCCCGGTGAAGCTGTCTCTCTGTGGCCTCAGGGCTGCTGCAGGGCAGGGTGGAGTTCAGATCACCCCATTTGCACAGGTGGGGCTTCTGGAGTGGCTGAGATGCTTCTGCTCCTTGCCCCCTGTTTCTTGGAGCAGAACTTAAGGAAGTCAAACAGGATTTTGACCCAAGAGACCAGACATGAAATGAAACCTATTTTCCAACGGGCATTCTTCTGGCTTTTCCTCCAAGTGGGATTTTTGACTGTAGGATTAGGTTTAAACATTGAATTTCAATTTTGTATACACATACCAAGAGGCCCCAGGGCAATGGGGACATTTTAAATGAACACCAGCCTAAGTCCTCTACCTGCCAAGTGTTCGATTAAGCTGCTTAGGTCTGTTTCCACCATCCTGTCTTTCAAATATTTATGTGTCAGATTATAGGCAATCTTCAAAGGCAAGGATATGCAAATCTGTTCTATAAATCAGAGAATAACACAGCTGCTGTCTTCCTCAGAGTGACAGCTCACGAATGCCAGCATTTCTGCCTGCGGAGGGGGTGGTGGGAGGTAGGCTTCTTGCCCTCAGACAGGCCTGGTGTGTGTGTGTGTGTGTGTGTGTGTGTGTGTGTGTGTGTGTAGTGAAGGTGGGGAAGGGAGTGGGAAGTTCTTTGCCTTTTTGTAGAACAGCAGGTTTTATTTTTCGTTTTTTAAATTTCCCAACAGTGAAGGAGTTAACTTATTCCATGAACCGTAACAAACTACCAAGGGATAGAACCTCTCCAGGGATCTGAGGCACCCAGGAAACTAGAGAAGAGGGTGACTTTCAGTTTGGGAGGAAATGTACCCAGAATGTGACGTAAGGGTGACGGGAGAAATCAACAAGTAATGCCTTTGAGAATTCCAAAATGAATTTAATTTAGTCGAAATGAGTAAAAAGGAAATTGTGCCTTGCAAATGCTCGTGCACATTAAGCTCCGGCCCAGGGTCTTAACAATCTGTCAGGACGGGCCCAGTGTGCTGAAGATTATACCTTCGTGGGCTCTTTCTGGCTGTTGGTGTGAACACATGGATTTGGTACACTGGTGTTCCCTGACAAATGCACATCCACCAAGACCAAAGCTGGAGTTTCTGGTCCTTGCCAAGCAGCTGGTTCTGGCCTCGTGTCACCCTGTGGAAGCACCTGGGGAAGGCTTTAGTCAACAGGGTGCAGAGGCCCTGGGAAGTGATGTGTATGAGGAAACGTGTTGGGAAAAGATTTGCTGGGTATTAGTCAGAATTCTGCTGAAAGTGACTCAAACTCACTTAGGCAAGAGGGGAATTTTCAGGGTCACAGAAGGGAGTGTTGAATAACCAAATTACGGGGAATAAAAGGGCATATAGTTGGGCTTGGGAATAGCTGGAACAGCTGGAACACTGCCAGGCTCTCTTCTATCAAATGTCTTTAATTTTCCTCTGTGCTGGTTCTAACACGGCTGGCAACAACTAGCAGATTCTGTACCTAACACCTTCACCACTATAGAAACTATTCTGTACTGAACAACTTTTGTCATGATCAAGTCCTATTTCAAGTTATCCTAGGGAAGAACTATGATTGGCCAAACTGGGATCAGGTGTTCATGCCTGGACCAATCAACCGTAGGGAGGGAGGGGGCATGGGGTTATATAAAAACATGGCAGCTCTTATGGACCTCATACTGATAAGGAGAGGCCTTTTTAGCAAAAGGAGTGGGTAAGTTTTGGACAGACAATCCATTGATATCTACTATAGCTAAGAGAGGACCTGAAAAGGGACCAGGGAAGATAATGTGATGAATGAGTTATACATTGGAATTCCACTGACCTCCTCCTTGAAACTCAGTGTTCCATAGGATTCCTTAATGACACTAAATTCACCTGGTTTGTCTTTTTCTTTTTCCTGACAGCTCTTATTCTTTCTCCTTGATTGCCCTGGATCCTCCTCTTCTCTGCATTAAGGATCTCCTCAAGATTGCAGGCCCTTTACAATCTTGCCTCTAGAGGAGACCAATAGACTCTTTCCTTCCATGCATAAAAATCACTCCCTGTTACAACCTTCCCCTTATCTTCCAGAAGAAACCTACACTTGAATTTCTGTTAGCTACTCAAAGCGTGCCCCTTGAATCAGCCATGTCAGAATCACCTGGAAACTTCTTGGAACTGCAGAAAGTTGGGACTTGTCCCAAAACTACTGAATCAGTCTGCATTCCAACAGGATGACCTGGCAAGTTCATTAATCTGAAACGCATTGCTTTGAGCAGTTGCAAATTGAACTCGTAGCCTTTCTGCTCTCGACAGCTAAATAAATATTTCTTCACAATCGTCGCATGAGGTCAAAAGCAACTACATCTAAACACTCAGATTCCAATCCTCAGAATTACTTTTCTGAGGTCAAAAGCAACTACATCTAAAAACTCAGATTCCAACCCTCAGAATTACTTTTCTCAATACTTGTCTTCACTACCTATATCCAATCCATCACCAGTTTGTCCCTATTCATCCCACTGTCTCATTGGTCTGCTTTTCCTAACCACCTACAGCAGGCTCTAACAGATACATTTGCCACTCATTTATAAAACAAGCCTAGTAGTACTATGCCTCATTTACATATTTACATACAAATTTAATGTGCAATTATATTCATTCTGCTAGGAGTAGTTTTCAACCATGGCTTTGTGAGCAGTTGTAAGGGATATTGCAAACAATATATTAATAATTATAAGGTATCATAATTTATGAACAATTTATATTCTTAAATATATTAGTTGGGATTAAAGATTATTTCTAAAATTATGTTGACTAACCTGCATTCTAATATGCTATAACGAGCAGCAGAGAAAGTGGTAGAATAATACCTTTCGGGCTAGGAATTGTACATAAGAGTATGTCTTATATATAAACATCATCATCACAGGGGTCAGAAAACTCTGTGAAAGGCTAGATAGTAAATATTTTAGGATTTGTGGGCCATATGGTCCCTGTCACAGCTCTTCAACTTAGCCATTACAGTGAGAAAGCAACTACAGACAATATAGCTTGGTTACAGTAGCTTTAAAACAAGACTTGAACTCCAATAGTTCAAGTCCTCCAAGTTTGAATTTCTTTTTCACAGTTATTTTGGCTAATATAGGTTCTCTGCAATTCCATATAAATTTTAGGTTTAGCATGACAATTGCTAAAAAATAATCTGCTCAGATTTTCTCTGGGATCCTATTGAATCAATTTATGGAGAACTGACAGCTTAACAACACTGAGTCTCCCAATTCGCAAACAGGGTACGCCTTTCCTTTTTTTTATATAAATTTTTTTATTCATAAATATTTTCCAAAATGAAAATAGGTTTACCAAAACATGTCCCTTACTGGGGAGGTCGGGGACAGCCCTTGCTCCTGGGCCACCAGGATGGGAAAACTTCGGGGCTCGCTCCCTGCTTTCTAAAGGGGGGCGGGGAGTCCCATCAATCTTCCAGGGCAGGGCCCTCACCTGGGCAGAAGGATCAGCATGCCAGGGAGAGGGGTGGGGTGGAGTGAGGGGCCGGCGCACTCAAAGGTGAAGTCTTCCTTCTTCCATGATCCCCACTTCTCCTAATTAAAGTAGGTTTAGGTGCCCTGCCCCAAATGGACGGCGGTGGCCTCGGGCTCCTTGTGCCTCTGGAAGCATATCATGTATCTGGTATGGAATTGCCACGACTGTTTTTTTTTAGGGCTTTGGCTGCCCGGTACTGCACCTTAGTGCCCTGCAGATAGAAGAAGATGAAGGAGAGCGTCTCTGTCCACAGACTCTGGTAGAACTCTGCAGTGTGCAAGTGCGGGGGCAGCACCTGCTGGTGCCTGGGGATTCGGACAGGGGCTCCTGGGGAGGGACTGCCAGATGCGCTCACAGTCTGAGGGGTGAGGAGTGTGGTACCAGGCGGCCTCCTGGTTGAGCTCTCCTTGGTGAGGGCCACAGACCCCAGTGGACACACATCTGGTAGTGGAACTGCCGTGGTGCTGCTCAGGATGATGTCTTGCGCAGTCAGGTGCAGCATAGGCAAGGGGTCCTCAGTGCTAGAGCTGAAGGCTGCTGGCTCTACCATGGACTGGAAAGAGCTCAGAGGCTCGGGGCCTTGATCTCCAGGGTGGTGCTGAGCTGCCTTGGCCTTGCTGAAGCTAGGCTCTGGGGAGCTGGGCGGATTCACAGGTAGTAACACCAGGAGCTACGCCCCCATCCCCCAGGTGGTTCCCTGATCCTGGGTTCCTTTGAGGTAGGTTGTGGGTCCAGATGGGGGACCCAGAGCCTGGCTTTTGGCATTTTTGCTCCCACTGCTGCTAAGGGCAGGGTTTTTGTTTTTTTTTTTTTGTAGTTTTTAGTGTACAGGTCATGTATGTGTTTGGTTAAATTTATTCTTAAGTATTTTGTATTTTTGGTGCTGTTGAAAAATTCCATTTAAAATTTTATTTTCCGTGCTTATTGTTAGTATACAGAATATGTTCAATTTGTTTTGTATATTGATCTTGTGTTCTGCAACCATACTAAACTCACTTATTTTTTTTTCTTATTAGTTATCCATTTTATACAGAACAGTGTATACAGGTCAACCCCAATCTCCCAATTCATCACACCACCACCAGCACGCCCCTGCCACTTTCCCCCCTTGGTGTCCATATGTTTGCGCTCTACATCTGTGTCTCAATTTCTGCTCTGCAAACCGGTTCATCTGTACCATTTTCTAGGTTCCAGATATATGCGTTAATATACAATATTTGTTTTTCTCTTTCTGACTTACTTCACTCTGTATGACAGTCTCTAGATGCATCCACATCTCTACAAATGACCCAATTTCGTTCCTTTTTATGGTTGAATGATATTCCATTGTATATATGTACCACATCTTTTTTATCCATTCGTCTGTCGATGGGCATTTAGGTTGCTTGCATGACCTGGCTACTGTAAATAGTGCTGCAATGATGTACACAACTCTTAGAGGAAAACATAGGAGGAACACTCTTTGACATAAATCACAGCAAGATATTTTTTGATCCACCTCCTAGAGTAATAGAAATAAAAACAAAAATAAACAAATGGGACTTAATGAAACTTAAAAGCTTTTGCACAGCAAAGGAAACCACAAACACGACGAAAAGACAGCCCTCAGAATTGGAGAAAATGTTTGCAAATGAATCATTGGACAAAGGATTAATCTCCAAAATATATAAACAGCTCATGCAGCTCAATATTAAAGAAACAAACAACCCAATCCAAAAATGGGCAGAAGACCTAAATAGACATTTCTCCAGAGAAGACATACAGATGGCCAAGAGGCACATGAAAAGATGCTCAACATCACTAATTATTAGAGAAATGCAAATTAAAACTACAATAAGGTATCACCTCACACCAGTTAGAATGGGCATCATCAGAAAATCTACAAACAACAAATGCTGGAGAGGGTGTGGAGAAAAGGGAACCCTCTTGCACTGTTGGTGGGAATGTAAATTGGTACAGCCACTATGGAGAACAGTATGGAGGTTCCTTTAAGAACTAAAAATAGAACTACCATATGACCCAGCAATCCCACTACTGGGCATATACCCAGAGAAAACCATAATTCAAAAAGACACATGTGCCCCAGTGTTCATTGCAGCACTATTTACAATAGCCAGGTCATGGAAGCAACCTAAATGCCCATCGACAGATGAATGGATAAAGAAGATGTGGTACATATATACAATGGAATATTATTCAGCCATAAAAAGGAACGAACTTGGGTCATTTGTAGAGACGTGGATGCATCTAGAGACTGTCATACAGAGTGAAGTAAGTCAGAAAGAGAAAAACAAATATCGTATATTAGCGCATATATGTGGAACCTAGAAAATGGTACAGATGAACCAGTTTGCAGAGCAGAAATTGAGACACAGAAGTAAAGAAAAAAACGTATGGACACCAAGTGGGGGAAAGCGGCAGCGGGTGTGGTGGTGGTGATGAATTGGGAGATTGGGATTGACCTGTATACACTGATGTGTATAAAACAGATGACTAATAAGAAAAAAATAAATTAAAAAAAAAACAAAACAGAAGGTGAATTCTGAAAACCACAAATGGTAAGCAATCTGGATCCCAGGTAGTATTTATGAAAGAATTGTTTCAAGGGAATTTATGAGTACCTATAAAAGGAAATAGTGATTACTAGGAGCCAGTATAGATTCACCCATAATGTTAAGGTATTGTAAACATTTTCCTTTCTTTTTGAGAGGACTATTAAGGGGATTCTGAGCCAGTGTCTGTGTTTTAGGAAGAGAGCGACACTGTTCACTCCATCTCTGGCCCCATAAATTAGAAGTTATAAATTAGTAGCTTGTGGTTCCCTGTGTTTCTTTGGCTCTGCCCACATTTTATGATGCTTCTGGTGCAGTTGCCAACGTTTAAAAAGAGGAAGTGTGGCGGATCATATTCTTGCCCCGATTACCGTCTCCCCTCCCACCAGTGGCCACGTGAACAGCTATGTCTCCCTGTGCGGGGGTGAGGGGGTGGGCAATCACCCTTCTCCTCAGTTGCTCAGGATTGGCCAGGGTGCTTGCTTTGGTGGATGGGATGTGAGCAGAAGTTCCCTCTGACACCTGGGAGCACATCCAGGATGGGGTCTGCTCTTCAGTCTGGATCCTGGAAAGCGAGGAACCGCAGAGCAGAACCATTGCTGCTGATATGTAACAGGAACAGAAATGAACCTTTACTGTTACAAGCCAGTGATACTCTGAGGGCTACTTGTTACCACAGCCTAACCTAGAAAAAGTGACGGATAGAAGAGATAGCCCATAACAATCTGGACCTTGCCCTTCTCTTAAAGAATCAGAAGATCTGATGACACTGGCCTCCAGAGCCCCATGGCAACAAGTGGCTGGAGATAAAGGGCGGCTCCCCCTTTGGATGGAGACCAGTCACCACCTGCCTGCTTTACTCATCTACATGGCTGTGGGCCCTTGTAAACATCTAACTCAAACTCCCATGCCACCCATGTATAACTAGAGTCACAGAGAGCTGTAAAAGCCAGTTCTGGGCAATAATACCCTGTTTCAGGCACGCGTCACATGTTCCACATGGCTTCCTCTGTTTCCAGTCTCACTGACACATCCACCGCGTGGACTCCTCACTTCAGCCTGGCAACTTCTCCAAGCTCCTTGAACACAGAAGGCTCGCTCACAGCACAAACCATGTGAGAAACAAGGGCTGACCCGACCATCTCCCAGATTTCATGAGTCATTGCTGGAAGCCGTGACCCCTGCCGTTCAGCCACTGCTCAGCTACATCCCTGGGAGACCCTCTCCACCCTCCTCCCATTCCTGGAA